CCCCCCCCCCCCCCCAAATTGTTTCTGGTGGGGGAGGATTTGTTGGGAGGATTTAAAATCAGTGCTGTACCATTTGGAAGCCAGGGCTGACAGGGTAGGTCCTTGCTGTTTTGAGATATTCTGACCTGCTAATCTGTCTGCGAAAGGACCATTCTCTGGAGTCTGGCCTCCAGGGTTGCAGCTGGTTTGCAGGACAAACTCAACAGTGTTATTCCTGTAGCTGTCAGGGTAGTTTTAAGTTATCAAGAAACTGAACAGGAACTTGCTTCCTCTCCCCAGGTACAGCTGGTTAGTTGCAAAACCCTTGTGCGGCTTCTGGCTTTAACTGGAGCCCGTTTTAGATACTGTGGATAACTAGAGAGATAAAACCACTCGACTGTAACGACTTGGTAATATTGAACTCTTGTTTTCACAACAGAAATCTTGCTATCAGTGCACACGGTCCTCTTTCCCTGTAAAGAAAGCGTGGCTCAGCACATGAGCAGTGGAGGCACATGCACGCGCATACCCATGCACATTTATTGAAGGACAGTTTTAAAAAACATCAGTAGTTAGAGCAGGACCTTGGGGTGGGGACAGGGACTTTAAAGAAGTGCGCAGTTTCACAAGCTTGTGTACATCAGAAAGTACGCTCCTCTCCCATAGCTAATGAGCCGTTCAGCTTGCTGGGTTCACTTTGCTTCCCTCCTGCAGCCGGCAGGTAGTTCTTTCAAGAGCCTCTTCCCTGTATATTGCAAACAAACCTTTGAGCTTCCCCTGATGGTTGAAATGTCCAAATGGAAGTTAGTAGCTTAGATTTGGCTCTTAACGTGAGAAACTTGTTATCATAGAGCTGCATCTTTCCCATGGCTACTCCAAAATAAGTGACATTCAGAGGATCATCGGTTGTTATTGTATCCAGACATCTTGGTGTTCACATTGTGCTGCTAAAGCAGAATGGCAGATGGAGAAACTAGTATTGCCCTGGGATCCTACCTCTTCTAGGAGCGGGTTTGAGGGAGAACCATATGACACTTCTGCCTTTTCAGCGTGTCTGTTAGCCAGAGTGTAGCTGGAGTTGGGAAAGAGGGGGGAAAAACACATTTTTTTTTCTAGCATTTAACTTGTTTTTGACTCGAGTCTTTCTAATACAATGGAAGAGAAAAGGCAGGTAGCTTATCATTCTGCAGCCTTGTCTTCCTGTTTGCCTACCTTCTCCAAAAGTGCGTCAGTATAAGAGAGGGGAGAGACTCATTATGCACGTCCTTCTGGTGACCACCTGCCTGTCAGAGCAGTTATTCTGGAAGTGGTTTGCTTAACGGGTTATGTTGCTTTTTCAAAAATGATTTATACAATATGAGTTTAGTGCCTGGTCAGCCCTGAACACGCAAGTCCTCCAGTAAAAGGCGTGCAGGCAGCAGCAATGGCAAAGTCTCTTCCATGTTCCCTTTTTTTGCCTCCCGTGAGGGCCCATCTTTAGGGGAAGAGTTCATTATCCCTGCCAGGTCTCGGCTTAGTGCTTCTGCTAACGTGACAAAGTCGGCTCCTGAGTAGGGCCAAGAGCTGGTCATGGGTTTTCTGATCTGGGGCCTAGACAGAGCCAACCAAGCTCATTAGCATTAGGTCACCAAATGGCCACCAGACGGTAACGATGTTTGGTCATTACCGAGTCTGAGCTATGGGCTTAGATGAACGTTTTCGAGTGGGTTCTACCAGTTCCTTGAACAGTCACCCTCTTGTAGCTACCCCACCAGGCTGTAGGCAAAATCTGCCTTGTTTCCTTAGTGCTTTTAAAGTTGCAATTGTTTTCCAGGTCCTTCGGTGTCGTCCTGTGGGAGATTGCGACATTAGCAGAGCAGCCGTACCAAGGCATGTCCAACGAGCAAGTTCTCCGTTTCGTGATGGAGGGGGGCCTGCTAGACAAACCAGACAACTGTCCTGATATGCTGTAAGTATTGCCAGTCATCTCTCACGTGCTCCATTTGTTTCCCTCTCTCCTCTCTTGAAACTCAAATGCCAAGTTTCTAAGGTAAATCTAGCTCATTGTTTCTAGTGAATGGATCTGTTGGTAGCGTGGTGATGAGCATGATAGAGTCATTTTTTATCAGGGCTCAGTGGCAGTTGGGAGAAGCCAGCTTTCATACTCTTGCAAACTTATAGTGCTGTTTCCACTTCATTGATGTGGTGCTCAAACTAATGGGTGGACCTTCATTCTCTCTCTGACTGTCCTTTTTCTCTCTCCATGACCTGCCCTGTTCTTCCTGCTACCATTCATTGGTGCTGTATCTGGTTTAAACTAAGTATTTTTAATTATTTATGTGCCTCTCCTTTTGATCTTCTCCCCAGTGTAAAGGCTAGTAAATGACCAAGAACGCAGTGTGATGGACTAGGACAAACCTGTTGCAGTGCTAGGTACTGTTTGGAAGTGTCCCTATCGATCTAAATAACTGCCACCAAACACTTTTGCTAGTAACAGTAGTCTCACTACGGCCAAGGATTAGATTCCCTAAAATGCAATCAACAACCTTTCCTGGTGCTGAGCAAATTTAGTTTCAGTAAAATGAATGGTATTATTTGGAGGACTTATCAGAGACTTCTGCTTCTTAATGATTTCTATTTTAAAATAACGCTGTTGGAAAGAAGTGTTTGGAACAAGCAGAAAATTCAAAGATGCCACTTAAGTCGAGTTGTTTGGGTTTTCCAGTGTCCTTTCCCAGTGTGTTCTCTCTCTTTGGGATCTAAGCTTTTTCCATAATTCTGCGTACAGATAAGATACTGCAGCAACTTAGCATCCGCTGCCAGTCATGGGTGCTCACTGCATTGAGAGCCATGCCTTCTCCCTGGCTCATAGTTGTCTTTTCTATAAACCACAAATAAACAATAGTGGCCAAGAGCACTTTCTTTCTCATGCAGGTCCAATAAAGCTACCTCGTACCAGAGATTCTTTAACCAGCATAGACTTTTTCAGCTTTTTGCTTTATATTGTTGAAATGCTTCTGCTGGGTTTTGTGTTCAGTCATTTTGGTTGTTCAGACATTTACTACTTTGATATGCTTCCCAAACGAGCTCTCTGGAAGGAAATGCCATGTCTTGCAGTTATTGAAATTTGTTGGAGGCCCACAGAAGGGGCTTGGGATTCTTAGGAAAAGAGCTTTTTTGGCTGGAGCGCTTGCTTTGGTTTCAGATGACATTCAGTTTTGTTTTGTTGTTGGAGGGGGTGGGTAATGGGTGGCGTAGGCAGGAGGAGGAGAGGGGCGGTATGGCTGCCGTGTGACTCCCCAGTCTCACATTTCTTCCTGTCCATGATTCTGTGGAGAGTTTCTGGCAGTCAGATGGCTCTGAAGTCATGCCTGACATTGTGGGAATTGTGTAGTAGGGGGCTGGGAACATGACAGATCCTAGGTGAGCAGCTGTTATTCTAGGAAGCACTAGAGGGAACTTACAAAAAACAAGAAAAAACCAGTGTGGATGAACTGGGCAGATGGATTTAGCCTTAGAAATTCGCCATTAACTTGCTGTGTATATCTAGCTGGGGTAGGAGGGAATTGCAAGACCAGCTAGTCACTCCCACGAGCATTTTACTTGTTTGGTCTCATTGCTGGATGAATCTGCGTCAGGTCGCCAGCTAGCAAAGCGGAACAGTGTGGATACTGTATAGCAGAAGTTTTTCGACCTTTGTTAAGGAGAGTACCCCTTCTGGTGGGTACTCCTCGTAGCAGGTACCCCCTTCTGGATGTGGAGCAGAGCTGGGGGGATCCCAAATGCGAAGTGACTGTGTGCGGTGATGGCGCTTCCCAAGTACCCCCGCTTCTCCGTGCCACCGCTGCGTGCTCCCTGGGGCCTTCCCACGTGGGTCTTCAGCCCGGTTGACATCCCCTGTTGTGTTCCCCTCCTCACCCCCATCCCTCTAATGTTAGTCCCTCGCTCGGGCAATTTGTATTTCCCTACTGGCTTTGTCATCTTTTTGGATTCACAATCCTAAACTTCTGAGTTGATGGGGTAATCCGGGCCTCATTCATATTGACCCGAGAAAGATGCTCTCACTTTCATGCTAGAGTCCCCACCAGATCACAACTCCAGACCCAAAACTCCCAACCTGGGTAACTTAACAATCCAGTTTTGAGTTTTGCTATGAGCCTGGGGGGCACAGCCAAACCCAGAATCCAAGTAGCCCAAACCCAGGGGCTGTAAAGCTTGAGTCTTGTTTCCTGTGTAGCTGCTGCAATGGAAAGAAATATTGGGAAATCTGCCTGCTTGCAGGCTTTGCTGCTCCTCCAGGGAAGAGACAAAATAGGAACTCCGCTGTGGGATCTCCCTTCGCCTCTCTCCATCTTCGCCTTTAAGATGCCACTTAAGGGAAAGATGGGCCAGTGGCACCCATTGGATTGGATCATATATAACATTTCTTGGCATCATCTATGCTGTAGAAATTCAAAGATGCCACTGAAGTCCAGTTATTTGGGTTTTCCAGTGTCCTTTCCAGGTGGACTCCCAAGCTCTCCTGTCTGATCCATTTTTTTCAAACGTACCTCAGGCTGCTCCCCTTCAGCCTGACCTGTTATAATGCAGTGTCAGCAAGCAGTGCATAGTCCTGTGACCACGGCTGCGCATTGCATGATGTCTTCCCCTTTGGTGCCGTCTCGTTCCTGGATATGGCTGAACAAAGCCCAGGTCTTGGGAAATACAATTCTGTGCCCTGTCACAGAATAGGCACTGATCTCCCTGCATCACCAGCTCATGCAAGGTCTAGTTATTTCACCAAATGTTTTATGCCTCAAGCAAAGAAGGTTCCCCCTCTTGGATGGAGGTTGGTGTTGGATTTTCCTGGTAAAGCGTCCGGTTCCCTGGCACGCTGGTCCCGCCGGGGGCTGTTTTTAGCCTGAAGGCACCAGTTGCAGTGGAAACCTAATGCAGCTGGTCCATTGGTCCAGGATATTTTAATATCAATTCAAGATGCCCAGGAAGCAAAGTCCACCTGCTGCAGGAAAGTCAATAACTGCCTGGACTCAGCATAGTGTAAATGGCAAGCCCAGAAGAGGAGCTAGTTATCACTGATGAGAAATCTAGCGTGCGGCATCTCTTCAGCGCTGGGCCCTCTTTCTCTAAATTTGTCCATTGTGCAAGCAGCTAAAGCATAGTTGTGGGTTGTTGGTATGTAAGGCAGCATTTGGTACTGACTTTTGGAGCAGGTGGGGAATGTACCAGCATCCAAAGGCCTCTAAAAAGGAGGTAGACCACAAGGTTGTCCAAGGGCAAAACTTGAGTCTTGTACATAGAAGGATTGCACCAGAGCTTCCCTCGCTTCGGTTTGCAGGGCACCATCTTGCTCCGTTGTTGACAACAGCCATAAGCCCTGCAGTCATTTCCACGAGGGTTTCTGTGTAAGATCCTTGTGTTAGCTGTGATTGTAAGTCACTGCTTCGCCGACTTCTGGTTGTGGAGAAATGTTAATTTTTAGCTGGGCCAGAGACTTAATACATGGTAGTTTGTTTCTCGGTTTCAGCTTAGCCAGGGTTTTCCCTAATGCTCATTAAAGATGGGGTATGCTGGGTGTTGCTGGGCAGTTACACCGGGATTTGCAGAAGGGGAAGATATTAAAGAAACAGCTCAACAGAAGGAACTGAGGTTTCTTTCCAGGTGTTTTTATTCAGCTGTTGATGGGCAAGCGAAGCTTGGATTGATTCCTGTTTAAACCGCAGTCCCCTGGAATATTTTGCATGATGTTACACTCGGACATACCGTAACAACAGATGGAGGCCAGGCAGTATAGCCGATGAGAGGCATTGGTGCTCATGTGGCTTACACACTGCGATTGTTGCAAGCGTTTGGCAGGCTGTGGCTGCGTGTTGGGGAGCTTAGTTTACTGCTCGTAGCCTCTCGCTGGGTTTTTAAAAGTTAGTTTAGTTGCGCGGGGTGGCATTTGGCTGTGTTCTGAAGCAAGGGTGCATTGAATGATTGCTTCCCCCAGATTGTTAGCCAAATTACACAGCTCCAAGTTTTGCTTTGTCCCTGGGTATAGCTCATTTTCCAGCCAGCTTTTTACCCCTAGACAAGTACAGAGGTCAGCCCTGTCTTCTAGCGGGCAGGAGACCAGCAAGGACCCTCCCCTCCCCTCGCGCCAAGTTCCTGAGTGTCTGACTTGGCTATGAAGAATCGAGCAGAGGCAAATCACAAACACGCAGATCGCAGAGAAGTAAATCACTTTTCCACCGGGGCTCTTCTTTCACCTTTTTAATATTCAACGCAACAAACACGTCGGCTTTTGCTGTGCCGCTCTGTTGACAGAAAGTGGAGAGCTCATTCGGAGAAGGTTGAAGATCCCACTGCCTCATAATTCATACAAGTTCCCAAGCCTGCCTTACCATCCCTCAGAAGGAAACTTTTTTTTTTTTTTTTAATTAAAAAGCTAGTTTTATCAGCTAGTAAATTTCTCCATTGTCTGCTGGACGGCAGTCTGGTACACTGAGAGTGGAAACAAGATCCCAGAGTAAAAAAAAAAAAAAAAAAAAAAAAAAAAAAAAAACAGCATCCCTTTTATGGGAAGCTCTGTAAGGTTTTTGAATCTGGACTAGCTTAAAAGAAGCATCACATGTCCTTGTTTGTGCTGATGTCACATGCATTACTCTACGGCTTGTGGTATGTCCTTAGCATTGCCCCTAGGCCGCAGGGCAAAGAGCCAGTGAATATCCAGTGTTCCTGGCTCCAGCTGATGCTTCTATTCAGGGACGTAGCAGTCAGCTGGAGAGGAAACAGCAATGAAGTAACAGAAATGGATTTTATATATTTATGTCACAGCCTTTCTCCTTGTTTGGTGGGGGAGGGGATGGCACATTTTTAATGACTGGCTTTACTCTTAGCTCGAAAAATGTGTCTCAGGGCTGCTGACACGAAGCAAGCGGTAGACGCACATTTTCATGTGTGCACGTGATGCACAACTATCTGTTATCCATTCAGGTGACTTCTCTGTGTTGGGTTGTTTGCTGACATTACTTTTTTGGCCGTTGCAAATTAAAGGGATACAGCCGGGCTGTTGATTTTTGCTGTGGTGCCAACCAAGCGTTAATAGAAGTGTGTTTGTGGTTACAAATGTGTTTCAATTAAGATAACTTGTGTTTGTATTTAAACATTTCCCTGCAGTGCTTTCAACCCATACATGGCAGCATTTCAGTCTGTCTTATCTCGCTGTCGCCATATTCATCAGAGGGCCTCCCCCGGGTACAATATCAGTATTACTCTCCTCTCTCGGTTGACACGAAGCAGATTTTCTGGGCTGGTTTTGTACTTGGGTGCATGTGTTTGTGACTGGGAGGGTACTGCTGCAGTGGCTTCAGACTCCTGGCGCCATGGCACGGGCCCTAGAAGCCATGGTAAGACTGACTGCTATTGCCATGACCCTGGAGGCCAGGGTTTCCTGACTTTGGGGCAGGCCACATGGTTGGTGCTGTCCCAGAGCCGGGAATCCCAGAAACAGGCCGCCATGGTGGAGCAGTGCATTGGCAGGAACCCTGCTTTCCATTTTGGGGGATTTGCCAAACGAGAGGTTCTGAATCAAGTGCTCTTGAGGTGAAAAACAAATCAGCATTTTTCTGAATAATCATTTTTGTCAGAAAATAATCAGCTCCTTATACTCTGTGGAGGAACGTTTTGCTTCCATGACCTAGGAGATCCAAGTCAGAAATCTCTGAGGATAGCCTTGTTTCCAGAGGCGTAGGCTGGATTGTTAACACTGCTGGAATCTCTCCATCTTGGTATTTCTCTGAGCCTCCCTGCCACTGCAGCATTTCACGAATGGAGTGATGGCTTCTTGCAGCATTTCATCGACTACAGAAATATTGCCTGTTTTGTGGACCTGAAGCCCAGAGACAAAGGGCTCTGGACAGTATTTCACAGGCAGTCTAGCTGAGCTGGTAACAACACAGGTAGCTCCAGCTCCCGGTCTCAGCCGCAGGAAGAAGTCTTACTGCGTCACCAGAGAACTCCTCTGGGGTGGTCTTGATTGACACACATTCTTTTGTCCTCCTGTTTTTAGATCCTCTTTTATTTCAGCCTGAAAACGAGTCCACTTCAACCAGATGCCTTCGCACATAAAGCATGGTTGGTTGGTTCTGAGTCACATTTATGATATCCATTGCCTTCAGGTTTTCTATATTAATTTTCTCCCATTAGCTGGCTACTGCCATAACAGGAGGCGTCCTTGACGCTCACTCCAGCCATCAGAGGGGGAAATATTTGGTCTTGTCTCGTGCAAAGGGCAGGCCCTGCTGTGAGTGACCTCCAGTCTTAACGTCACAAAAAATGCTCTTCATCCCGCATATGTTGCAGTTTCATCTCGTGGCTTTGTTTTGCCAGTGTGCGGCCGTCATTGGAGAGAGAACCATAAATGTGTTTTAAACAGGTGATCTCATTCTCTGTAAAATAGTAACGTAGCCCTGGCCAAAAAGGCAAGTCAGTCAATAGGCTCTTAAAAGAAATACCAAACAATGGTGCTCAGATCTACAAGGGGTTTTTAAACTCCCACGGTGATTTTTCTTTTTTCCCTTGGGGAAAATTGTGGCTTCATTCTTTTGTTTTTCTGGACTTTGCTGTAGTGCTTTTTTCCTACTATTAAGGTCTTTTAGGGTCATAGTAACAGGGTGGAGGATTTGAATTGGTCTTTCCCATGCAAAGCACCTGTAAGATGCTGTAATTACCCAGGTGAACGTTAGCACTGGGTGATAACCATGGGCAAGAGAAACATTGAGTAGGCGCAGAACAGTGATTCTACTACCTCTATATGCAACAATCATGTGAATACTGATAGCGAAAATTGTGGCCTTTTCTGGTGTCCCAAAAGTCATGGAAAAATTGGAAAGGATACAAAAATGAGCAGAGGCTTGAAAAACACCTGCCAGTGATAGGCTTGGTCTTTTTAACTGGTTTATCCCAGATACATTCTTCATCACTTAGACTTGAATCAAAATGGTATGTTTTCCTAGCATCTATACTGTTATTCTCAGATAACCAAGCTGAAAAGAAGGGCGGCCCCCACAGAGTTGGGGCTGCAGGAAGGGAGACAGGAATTGTCATGGATCAACTCTTGTTCATATGAGTGTTTTAGGAGAATAGCACCTGGGGGCAAGAAGTGGCCACTTCCGGTCTAATTCTCTCTCGGAGCATTGTGCTGCATTCACAAACGAAAGAAATCCTGCGACCTGTCTACAGTCTTAATAATGGTCCTTGAAATCTATTATCTTTCTTTTGCATAAGTCTGGTAGAAATTATCTTGCTGCATCTCTAGAAATCGGTCTCCTACCTTTCTAGCATTCGAGCTGGCCTGTTGGGTACTAGGAAATGGGATCTAAAACTAGATATGGTGTTTTTTGGGTTTGGGGGTAGGGCGAAACCTTGTACTCTTTCTCAGAGGTGTATTTTGTATTTCATGTCACAGACGCTCTGATTCAGTGCGTTTAGTCATTGGGTTTGCCCAGGGTGCGCATGAGAAGCCTTGGGGTGGCTGCAGTTTGAAGTCAGCCACCCACCGAACAAAAAAGCATTTATTTAGTCAATGTTTTGTGTGTGTTTTAATTCCAGGTTTGAGTTGATGCGCATGTGCTGGCAGTACAACCCCAAAATGAGGCCCTCCTTCCTGGAAATCATCGGTAGCATTAAAGACGAGCTGGACCCAGCCTTCAAAGAGGTCTCCTTCTTCTACAGTGAAGAGAACAAGCCCCCTGACACGGAGGAGCTTGACCTGGAGACTGAAAACATGGAGAGCATTCCTTTAGACCCCTCCTCCACCCTCCAACCCACTGACAAGCACTCAGGACACAAAGCTGAGAATGGCCCAGGCGTGGTGGTCCTGCGGGCCACCTTCGAGGAGAGACAGCCGTATGCACACATGAACGGGGGACGCAAGAATGAAAGGGCCTTGCCTTTGCCCCAGTCTTCGGCCTGCTGATCCTTAGTACAAGAGTCTCTTGCCCACACACCCACCCACCCACACGCACGCAATTGAGGGAAGAAAGAAAGAAAATACAATGTATTCAAAAGCCTACTGTACCTCAGTGGATCTTTGGAACTGCCATAGCTGCACACAGGAGAATCCTCTTTTCAGTAAACATGTTCTAGTTTTTTCTTTTTTTTTTTCAATATGCGAGCAGATGTTTGTTTCGGTAATGGACTCCGCTCGTGGGGCGCAGTTGGCCTTTTAAAACGCTAATGTTAACACTTCATAGCAACAGAAAAACTTGAGATCCAATGTCTCTCTCTCTTTTTCTTTCTCTCTCTCTCTCTCCTTCCTCATCCACCCTCTTCTTTCTGTCTCTCTCTCTCTCTGTCTCTCTCTGCTTCATAATGGGAAACATATCTGCGTGCAAGTTCAACCTTACAACACAGGCTAGGTGCCTCCCTGGTAGCCCTCACAAACACCTGCCTAACACTGTAGGTCTTTATAAAAACTGAATTTAAAAGAAAAAAAAAGACTGGATTTTTAATGTTGCTCTTTAACCTTTTTAGGAACATGTAAAAGAATTAAAAAGGGCCATCATTCGTCCAAGGTTGTTACCATTTTCAACGCTGCCAAATTTTGCCAAAAAACTGAACTTTTATTTGTTTTTTGTAGGCATGGAAAGGAGCACAGTAACCAGCTGCTCTATTTAAAGGAAATACTGACCAATACACTCCATTCAATCATACACTGGTATTTAAAAAAAAAAAAAAATCAAATTTGTCTAGATCTTTTTTTTTTTAAACTGGACAAACCGAATTTTTTTTCTCATGATGGAGAAGACGGGGTGAGGTTTAGAATCAGCCCTCCCCGCCACCCCTACACCCAACACCCACCCTTATGAATTCTGGACAAAACTGGCAGTGGTGAGCCAAACACATGCATTTCGTGCAAAAAGTCAATCGCACGCCAAAAATCAATACAGTAAACAGACGAACCGGAAGGGATCTCCGTCGTGGCAGCCTGCCTTCCTTCGCAGGCTTGCAGGAAAGCGCACGTAGAAACACACCAAATTGGAGACGACAGAAAGCAGTAAGCGGATTCAAGCATCCGGCGCTTTGTTGCCCTTTTCTCTCTGTTATTAAGACTTCTCGAAGGGTCTTGCAGTTCTATGTTAGACCATGGATCATTTGCATACACATTGTCTTTTGTGTCACTTTTATAACTTTTTTACGGTTCAGATACTCATCTATATGTCTGTACAGAAAGA